CCTCATCTTCATCCCCTTCCTCTTTTTCATCCCCCTCATCATCTTCATCCCTGTCCTCATCTTCATCCCCCTCCTCATCTTCGTCACCATCCCCATCTTCATCCTCTTCCCCATCCTTCTCATCCTCCTCATCTTCATCACCCTCCTCCTTCTCCTCCTCCTCATTTCCCTCATCCCTGTCTCCATCCCCCTCATCCTCATCTTCATCATCCTCATCCCCTTTATCTTCACCATCTTCCCCATCACCATCTTCATCATCCTCCTCCTCCTCCTTGTCCCCTTCCTCCCTCCCCGTCCATGGGATGGCGTCGGGGATGGTCGGGGCTGGAGGGACCCTCTGGAGACCATCCCCCCCCAGAGCAGGTCCCTCGGGGTCCCATCCAGGGGGGGTGGGATGTCCCCAGAGCAGGAGCCCCCCCCTCCCTGGGCAGCCTGTTCCAGGGCTCTGCCACCCTCACCGTGAAGAAGTTTCTCCTCATATTTGAGTGGAACCTCTTCTGTCCCAACTTCTGCCTGTTGCCCCTTGTCCTGTCACTGGGAACCACTGAAAAGAGTCTGGCTCCCTCCTCCTTCAACCCTCCCTTGAGATACTTGTCAGCATTGATAAGGTCTCCCCTCAGCCTTCTCTTCTCCAGACTAAAGAGTCCCGGCTCTCTCAGTCTCTCCTCATCAGGGAGATGCTCCAATCCTTGAATCATGGAATGGTTTGGGTTGGAAGGGACCTCAAAGATCGTCTAGTTCCAACCCCCCTGCCCCCCCAGTCTCATGTCACCCACGTGTCATGACCTCAAGTCACAGGCGACAGGACAAGAGGAAATGGCCTCAAGTTGCCCCAGGGGAGGTTCAGGCTGGATATTAGGAAAAATTTTTTCACGGAAAGGGTTCTCAGCCCTTGGAATGGGCTGCCCAGGGAGGTGGTGGAGGCACCATCCCTGGAGGTTTTCAAAAGAGGGGTTGATGTAGTGCTGGGAGGTCTGGTTTAGTGATGATGCTCCTTGTTTGTTGTGTGGGTGTCTATTTTTGTCAGTTGGGTTGACGGTTGGACAAGATGATCTTCAAGGTCCCTTCCAACCTAGAAGATTGTGTGATTCTGTGATTGTGCCCCTGTGCTCAGCACTGGGGAGGCCACACCTCGAGTGTTGT